ATCAGCTGATAAGATCTGATAAGAGGCGTCAGAGAGGGAGGGTCAACAAGTTCATAGTGCGTCTCGCAGCAACAGTGGAGCGTTAGTTCCACATATAGTTTCTCATATGATATATGGTATGGTGCAGGATCATCTTTAATGGGTGACAAGAACTTCTAAGAGCTGATAAGCTTTGATAAGAGGCGTTAGAAGGGAAAGGTCACCATCCGGGCACGCCATCGCGTTGTGATCATTTTCTGAAAATTACGACCCCCCTAATTCCATACTAAAATACGACCCCCTTTTTGGGAGTTGGTACGACCCCCCTCCCAGCCCTCTGTCCTTCCTCATCGAACCGAGCCGTCGAGCGGGGGAGGTCGTCAGAATTAAACTATCATTTTCAAGTGTCGGAAATAGTAGTGCGTCCGTGAACTGACCAAATACGACCCCCCCCCTTGTGATGATCACAACGATGGCGTGCCCTGGTCACCATATCAATAGCGCGTGTCTCGGTTATTGTTGGTGGGTGACACGAACTGGTAGCGGCTGATTAAGATTTGCATCAATAGGGTTCTAGAAGGGGCAAATCTCACCATCGTATTCACAGCGCGCGTGGTCACAGCATCACCGAAGCGTTGGATCCAGCAGGCGATATAGTGGGTGAGACGGAAAATCGATAGTGGGTGACATAAAGTGATAGCAGCTGATAGGAGCTGATAAGCGACCTGTTGCCCTCGTCGACGTCGTTCAAGGTAGTAGACCTCTTACATTATCAAATGATAGAGATTTACTCCATTGATGCATTGATGACGGATGAGGCAATCATATCAATTGATAAAAATTGATAAGTCATCTTCGCTACCTTTTATACCATTTCCTAACACCGATCAGGACGTTCATGCATCACGTGCATGTAATGGTGCCGAGCGGGGAGGGGGGGATGGGGGACGGTATAGTGCGCCTAAAACGGGAAAATCGTGAAATTCATATGAAGAAAATATGCATCTGCTGGTTGTGTGATATGCAGTGGTGTGTTAGGAGCTGTAGGAGGAGGGAACCAACGCCCCATAGTGGGGACGTCCTGTCTGTGCTCATTAGCACCACGAGCTCCCGGTTTGACATTCATATTGAAAACAAAGCAGAATTGAGTTCTTTCACTGCCTCCCGTGGGTCCAAGACTGTGCCCCTTCGAGGGTAATAAGGTGCTGTATTTAACACCGCTCATCCGGATTGCCTAACTCAAATCCATTCCCATATTGCGGTCATACGTGATGCAGCCTTTTGCCGGTTAAAGATCGAGAATTAGGGGAGACGAGATGTGCATAAGTGATGAGTGATTTGAGCTATTTACAACATATTTTTCTACATTTTCCTCGAAGGCACGGTCCGCGATGAGAAACAGAATTTGGAAATATGGCGTTGGGACAGTAGTGTGGTAAGCGTTGAACAACCTTGTACCTGTTTCGCAGCAAAAAATTGTAAGAGAGAGGCGCTACATCGTACATAATATAGGCCTAGTAACGCTGCCCTTCTTCAAGTGACTCCGCCTCCAGACCCCGCCTTCATGGCCTGACTTTCAACAAAAAACGTGGCTGCAGGATGAAAAAAACATGAAAATCGTCACTTGTATAGTCGTATATTTCTTATAGGGGAATCAGGCCGCGGATAAGGGTGTAGTGTTGAAGATAGAGTTAATTGGGCACGCAGACTGGGATCGAAATGGGGTTCTATCTAGAGGCAGTTGACATGTTTTTTTCTGCTTTTTTTCACTATCAAGTTACACAGAACCTTGTCGAGTATGTGCAAAACACTAATTCACTGTGATGGACGATGGTCGCGGCCTCTGCCTTAAAAAAATCCCCTGTGACCATTTGACGCATTCTACCCACTCTAGCTCGCCTGAGGTAATAACGCCTGACGGAGCCAGACTATCACGCCGGTGCAGCCGTAAGAAGACCATTCCCCTGAACTGTCAATCCCTCTCCAGCAGCCCCAAGATTATGCCAGTTTTGATCGTCAAGGAAGGCTGAATGTGTAGAAGGACAAAAGCATTGGATTTATGACTATTTCAAATCAACAAATAAAAGAACACTAGGAAAAGCTTAAGATAAACAGCTAACGATACCACGTAGTAAATTCACACGCAGCATTAAATGGAACGAGTTTTTACACATGACAGTAGAGTACGGTAAAGAAGTACGTGCAAGGCGCGATCTGACAGCACTGCAAGATCTGCGCCGAACCGATGAGCAACAGGAGCGAAATTTGAACAACACACGGGTGAATCAAGTGGATGGAGGAGCGTGAAAACTATAGCGACGTGACGAGTCAACTGGAAAAGGGGGAGGGGAGGGTGGATTAACATTTTGATGCGCTACTAAAGGTACGAAAGCCACACCCAATACCTTAGGTGCCATCATCTTCGTCAATCATAACACCTAAATGTGGGATAGCCGTACTATTGGGCGTAGGGTCCAATGGCTGGAGAAATGAAAAACCAAAAAATTATCGCGAAAAGATTGTGTTCACCGTGAGCATATAAGACTATATCAATCAATAATACAAAGTTAATTTGCGGAAAAATCGATCGATAAGAAAAGGCACTTCATTGTTGTACATAATCGATAACAGATGCGTATATACGACATTACATTAGACCTACAAGCAAAAGGGGCACTGTCCCTGAAAACAGCTTTTCATCCCGATTCACATACCTACAGTAACTCGAGCAACGTACAATGACCCTTTAAATTTTATAATTCGGAGCCGGTCGATTAAAAGGATTGACATTCGCAAATCGAAGATCCTGATTCGAACCTATCGGGCAGTAATATCCAGACGAATTCAGCGACTGCCTACTTCCTGAAATCACAAGCGGTTATTGAAGAGAAACAACGGTAACTGAACAAAGTCCGAAACGTTCGAATACGCCACACGAAGATAGTGGTTTCCGCGAAAAAAAAATCACAAATGCACAAATTTGTCATTGCTGGGGAAAAATACTATTTGGGGATTGGCATTTCTACCTCAGGAACCCAAAGAAAAATTTTCCGCTGAAACTTTGTCTATAGTTGCCGCCACTAGGCGTCAACATGACACAACACTTTTCTCGCCAAATTTGATGCAAACTTGTATACGGGGATCAGTTGACCTCCTGGTCACGAATATTGCATTTATTTTTGACGCTGGCGCCATTTCGCGCCATAGGCGTCGATTTGGCGCCACACCTTTTCTTCCCAAATCGATAAAAACTTGCGTAATAGGGTTGTTTGATGCCCTGATCACGAGTATGGCATTTATTTCTCCATACCAGCGCCATTTAGCGTTCTGCTGAGGCTGAACTGGGAAAAGGAGTGATTCCCTTCAGGCCAGGCTCAGTCTTGTGTTAGCAAAGCGCAGATGACCATAGTGTCCTACGTTAGCGCCGGCGCCAAGAATAAATATCATATTCGTAATCAGGATGTCAAATAACCCCGTATACAAGTTTTCATCGAATTTTGGTGATTCAGGGTGTTTTGACGGCGGCGTCCTGTGACGCAGGCGCCAGGCAGTTTCGGGCAATATTCGTGTTCAGGAGGTCGGAGTACCCCTGTAAGGAAATTCAGCCAAGTCTGCCCTAAAATTCGATTGAAAACCGGCCTTATTTTGGCAGACTAGGGTAGGAGTAGTTCAATAGTGTCGCTTGTAGTCGGCTCGGTGGGGAGCACTAAATAGCACCCAGCAAAGCCTATACAAGCTTACTGGTAAAGTTCTGTAAACCCTCGTAGATCAAATGGCTCACTTGTACCATTCCCAGCTTTACAAGAATTTACAGGTCTCACCAAAAAGAGACCCTCATAGTCAACATGAACATCGGGCAGCTGATCAACTAGACCATTGACAGTACTCGTGCAAATCTTGAACCAGCACGTCAGCTCACTTTTCAGCGTGGTCATGGATTTGAAAAATTTCTTCCGTCAGTGCTGTGAACTTCTTTTTGCACATTTGCTATTATGCATTAATTGAAAAGGATTGATGTACTGGCACATTCCGAGTTTTTCTAACTTTTTTAACGTCGATCTTTTCACATCCATGCTTCACAAAAAGAAGTACTCATAGTATACATTTCTAAACTGGTACGCTAATTGTAAACCTAGCCCCCTGATCACGCCCGCTTTTGCATCTTTTGTGAAATTCCAACCTTCTCTACGGAATTTTCGCCTTTTGAAGCTGTAGCAGGTGTCTTTGCCCACTATGAGAGGTTCCGCCCTCTACTGACAAATGATCCGAATCGGCAGGCTGTAGTCTCAACTGACAGCATAGGGTCCCGCTCGCACTCGGAACAAAGTGCGTCTGTTTTATGTTCCGGACGACAGAAAAACACGACGACCTGCCACTTGAGACCCTAACCTGCCAGTTATAGGACATTTTGAAAGGGTGGGCGGAGCTCCTTTGTCAAGCGAGCGGACCTACCCGTTGCGACAAAAAACAGCTGGCATTTTTTTTTTTCAAGAGATCAAGCAAGTAAAACAACGCAAGTGATCGCGGCCGCTAGAGGGAGGTGGGTTGGTGTGTTGTTTGAAGGGCTATTCCATGAGTAATTCGTTTTTGTGACATGCATCGTGTGAGAAAGAGGTCGATAAAAATTAAGTAAAACAAATTCAAAATTGTCACTTCCTCGAATTGGTCACATCTCCAGTAGTCTCAAATTTCTTTTCCAGTTAGAGTGATGTGCGCAAATATAAAATGAGGCAAAAAAGTCAAGAAGCGAATTGACGACAATTGCGGGAAAGCATGAGCGCGCTGAAAGGTGGTTGGAACGGAGCTTGCAGTAGTACTTGGTGTGGTCCAGTTGATCAACTGCCTGATGTAATGGGTGATACCGACTTGGTTTAAAGTGCCCCATCCAAAATGAAAATCGTACATGAAAACTAGACTTGACCAAGGGCACCTGCAGCGAAGTCCTGTGGTTAGGCGTACCCGGACGTTTCAGCGCCAAATATGTGTGACTCGTAAAAACTCCACGCTAATCTCTCAAGGACTCATGACCTACCCATGATTGAACCCATACTCATTCGAGCTTCAGCAATAGATGGAGCCGTTGGTGTGGCTGATGTGATCGTGCTGCTTCGGCGTGTCGGCGGTGGAGGACGAGTTGCACTTTCTGCAAACATTTCAATACTCTTCTCATTATTTGCAGAAACTATGCGACTTTTTGCGGGATTATTACCTTTTCTTCAAATTTTCGCTTTTTAGGCGGCAGTAGGTAGCTCCGCCCACATGACAGAAGCTCCGCCCACTTTTCAAAGATGGTCCAGATTGGTAGGGTCTAGGGCATGTGTCTTCACCGCCAAATAGCAGGTGTCTCCACTGTCGTCCGGAATAAAAAGCAGGCAAAGTTTGTTCGAAGTGAAAGTGGGCGTGGCTTCAGCCATAGGGCGGAACTTCCCGTAGTGGGCAGAGCCTTCTGTTGCTGCCAAAAAAGCTAAATGATGGAGAAGAAAATTGCAAAAAGACTCGTTCCTTCCCAACTTTCATACTTTGAGACGAGAATGGAAGTCTCGTTTGGCAGTACAAAATGATTCAAGCAAAGTAAATCTCCGTGCTCACCTGCCCTGATTCGAATTCCATTCTGCATGACAGAACCGGTGCCAGCGGTGGATCCTACGGCAGTGGCATGTCCATTAGTGACGGGTACCGACTGTTCACATCCGTTTGTTGTACGCAGTGAGGCGTATTCCGAATGCACACGATGTGGTACAGCAGTGTGTTGTTGTGGTTGATCTGCAGCCACACAATAACTTTCGAGATCGGATCCAAGTTGATCTAAATTGCCTACAAATTCACACACACCCACTCAACGCAAGCATAAACATATACTAACCGATTTGCTGAAGTGTTTCGGCTATCAGTGCTGCTGACGATGCCGCATCGGAACTGCTACATGAACTACTTCCAGTTCGATAAGTGGGTGCAGTACAGAAAGTCGGGGTCTGAAAATATCCAAGTGAATTTTTTATCACTTTGTAGACATCAAAGTCAAGGTCTAGACGCCATCACTTAAAGTAAGGTTCATAATACGTCTTCAACTTAATTCCGATGATGCGGGCGGGTGCCACGCGGTTCACCGCAAACTATTGCACAACAAAGGATTCCTATGTGAGCAACAGTATGTCGACACATGGAAATCGCCAACACGTCACT